ACGGAACTTGCAACCATAGTTGCTTTTGGGAAACGCACCCCTGATTGATTTATCCATCGCAAAATATCATTATCATTTTATACCAATTCTATTAAAGAAACTCAATCTAAATAAGTGTAAATGTAAAAGCTTTACTTTGTCTTAAACCAACTGCGCAGTTACGCGCAACTAAACCCGCACAAAAGACGCCGTTTTGCACCATGAAATGTTGAGCTTACAATTGTAAACGCTCCTTCATATTACAAAACTATCTACCAGCAGGGAGCACTGAATAATTTATCTGCCTTTCTTTTTTCTTTTTTTTACTACCCTTTGTACAAAGTTTTCCCCTCTTTTCTGGGATCTTTGAATGGGGGTCACCGGTCCAGTTACTCTTTTTGCTGCCCGGCTCCAGAGCCGTTCCCTTTGTATTTCAGTCTAAAGGTTACAAAGGCTTAAAACGAGATTGTTCATAACAACGTTTAGAAAAAGGCAAAAGGGTATTGTGACCCGCTATAAATCTAAAATAAACAAATGCATCGCGTATAATTGAAAGAATATAATATGACCGTTTCGAATTATAATAGTAGGCTATAATGTTTAATTACAGACTCTTAAATATAATATAAATATATTAAATATATGACCTAAATATAAATATTTATAATAACAAATAATAATAAAATATAAATAATTAGCTGTTATGCAATTCAGTTCAAATATTGTCAAATGATAATTTTCATTTCACAATATTATGAAGATCATATAATAATAATAATAATAAAAATAATAATAATAAATGTTGTCAAAACGAGTCACCTCCACGGGGTCCACATGTCTCGTATAATGTAGTTGCTTAAACTGACATGGATTCTCAAATGGGTCAAACTGTCAGTTGTCGTTTAGGGGGTCGTTAAAACGCGATGGAAATGGAATGTGCCACACAAATTAATTTACCCGGCTAAATACCTGACGTCAGGGCTCACATAAATAACTGAGTAAGTACTGAACAGCTAGCAGCATGAATAATGAGAGCTATTTGTGCCATTCTTTTTTTCCAAGGGGGCGCACATATTCCCCCTGGCGAGAATGAAGGACTGCAGCATCTGTCCCTTTCAAATAACTGCCTAATGAAATATCAATTGCAACAACAGCAGCAATTACAGCACCAGTCCATCACGATCTGTCAGTACAACCGATCAACACCTCAAAAACATCTTCCGTGGGAGTTCGAGTTATAATGCACAACTTTTACGCGCCACGTTTCCTCGCATCTATTCGCACACAATGAGAAATGTAACGGCCTCTGACCTTTATCCCCGAGAATCCCATCGATGCTGTGCTTGGTTTTCTTTTCTCCGTCTTCATCTTTTTTATCACATTCGTCATCGTCATCTTTCTTGCCAAAACGAGCTCTCAAAACCCGACTAATGGAGCTAACTATAAAGAGAGATGATAATCACTGTAACGCCAAATGTAACAATCATAACAATGCACACTAGAAATGGGATTTCATTTATAGAATTCAAATGTAAAACTCCAAAATTAATTAAAAACGAATATACAGATTTATTATTATTATTATTATTAAGTAGATGCTGTGAAGCGCGTAACGTCCTCTTTATGTCAATAGGAATGAAATGGTGCTTACCGGAAGAGGCCTCACCTGAAGGAACCGTGCCTCTGTCACACACCCCGTCCTTCAGCAACTTATCCCGGATTTCCCAGCTGAACATCCCTGGATTCTCGCGTTTGTATTCCTCAATTCTCTTCTCAACGTCGGGCGTTGATACTTGCTTTAGCGTAGAACCAAAAATGTGGATGGAAAAAAAGCACAAGAAATGCGCATTCTGTTTACTATCAATTCCAGATATATTTATGATTCAAATATATTTAATAATTCATCCTAATTATTCATTAACCCCCCATTACGATTTGTTAAATGTATAAACATGTCTTTTATTTCGACATCGTTCACTCACCCTCGGTTTACTTCCACCTATCGCTCCCGGACGGATGGAACCGGTCTCCTGGTAGCGACAGAGGATTTTGGACACGCAGCCGTGTGAGACCCGCAGCTGTCTGGAGATCACACAGGGTCGGATGCCGTGATGAGCCATTTCCACTATTTTGTGTCGAATATGATTTGGCAGTGGCCTTCCGTTGATGAAAACTCCACCGAGCTGGTTCACTCGACCTTGACCCAGAGGCGTTGAGACTGTGTAAAAACATCCAGGCGCAAAAATAAAGTTTGAACAAAGGAAACAACATATCAGATAAGA